TTTTTTTTTTGCGGTACTGGGGATCGAACTAATGACCTTGCCAGACAAGTGCTTATGCCACTCAGCTATATCCCCAGCCCTCAAACCTTTATAATTATGGGCTAAGGAAGCCTCTTTTTTTGTGTCTGAAGTATCCTGTTTCAGGTATTTTGTTATAATAACGAAAAACAGACTAATTCAGCAAATTATACACTTGACTCACTCCCACCTGGGAGGAGTCCACTCTGATCACCTACAGCAAGGCTGGGAACAACCCCATCCTCCTAGACAGCTGGCTCCAAGCAGAGCCCTCTGTCTCTCATAAAGGATGGTACGGGCTGGGGATACCCTGCCCTGCCTGGGAGAGCACATCCTGCCGAGGGGCTCTGTGCTGGCAGCTGCACACATTTGAGGGTTGATAAGGCCTCAGATCAGGCATGGATGCTGCCTGGCCTTCTCCACACACCAAGAATGACAGGTGTGCAGTCTTAACCCACAGTATTGGTTTCTAACGTCTACTCTGTTATGCAGTTATTATTATTATTTATTTATTTATTTTGTGTGTGTATGGGTGTGTGTGTGTATGCCACTGTGAACTGAACCCAGGGCACCTTTTTTTATTAGTTGATGCAGGATCTGCCTAAGTCACTATATTTTCCAGGCTGGGTTTCAGTTTATAATCCCTCTGCCTCAGCCTCTCAAGAGTACTGGGATTATAGGCATGTGACACCATGCCTGGTTTGGTTTCTAACTTAAAATAATCAGAAGAGCAGGACAAGAAGACCCTGAGGTTAGAACTGAGGAAACAGGGCCCCCAGAGTAACCCCACCAGGAGCTGCTGTCCCAGTCCAGGAAAAAAAATCATGCCTTGGGCTGGCTTGCTTTATAGGTATGTAGGGCTGGAGCCGTATAGTGTAGGGTGGAAGCTGGTGGGAGTGGCTGCTTTTTGGGTTGTCCAGAGATGAATATCCCTCCTCAGAAGGCTGTGAGGAGAAGCTTTGGCCTTGGCGTCATACCTGGAGTGAGAGCTGGCCTCAAAAGCTGTATTAAAAAAGAGGGCAGCTTGCTGGGTATGGTGGCACACACCTGTAATCCCAGCACTGCGACTGAGGCAGGAGGATCGAAAGTTCAAGTTCTGTGTCGGCAACTAAGTGAGACCCTATCTCAAAAAACAAGAAAAACAAAACAAAACAAAAGGCTGAGAATGTAGCTCAGTGACAGCATGCCCTGGGTTTGATCCCTAGTATCAAACAAAAACAAAAGCAAAGCAAAGCAAAGCAAAGCAAAACAAAACAAAACAGGGCAGCTCAATGAAAACTTTGAAATTATTAGGCAATAGTGAAGGCTGTGGTGCCACCCTCATGTTGACCGAACCCCGAGGTCCTGGAGAAGTATGGCGACAGTGCCCAGCTGTCCCGACTCCCCAACCCCTGCCTTGCCCACCTACCTGCTCCGATGCAGTGCTTCCTGGCTTCCCGCCTCCTTCCAGAATCCCCTCGGTGTTTCCAGGAGTCTGGGTTTCGTGGCCTGCATCTTGAAGGTCTACAGGGTGGGGCGAGGGTCTGTTCTCTGCAGGCCCCTGGTCAGGGGATGAAGTATCTGGCTGTCCTGAGGCTCCTGGCTCTCTGTCTGTGCTGTGGCTGGATCCCAGTGCCTCTTCTAGCTGGAGTCTGGGTTCCTGCTCAGGCCACAGCCTGCTTTTGGACTGTGCCCTGAAGCTTGAGAGGCCATTTTTCCCCTCCAGAAGGAACTTCCTGGGATCCGGGGGGAAGAAGTCAGATATAGTTAGCTGCTTTTTCGAGCTGGTCAGTGATAGGCAAAAGGCATTGGCCTCAGGGCCCTCAGACAGCAACCTGGGGAACGTCTGCACCTTCCTCAGGCGGCTCCTCTTGAGTATGTCTCTGTCGGGCTCACCAAGGAGGGATGTGGTGTCCAGAACAAGGCTGGCCAGCCCCTCCCGGCTGGGGCTCTCACCATTTTTCATGGGGGCTGATAGCAGTGGTTTGGTGGGTGGGGGCCTGGGGCCCCGGCTGGCCTCCCGCTCTGGGTCTCTGGGGGCAGGAGGCTGGGGCTGGCCCTCAGGAGTGGACAGGGCCTCTGGGTCAGCGCAGAGGTCTCCAGGGGGTCTCTTGGGCCCCACACTTCTTGGAGCAGATCTCCCCTTCCAGGTGTTCTCGCTGACGTCTGGGTGCAAGGTAGGACATGGTTACTATGGAGGATCCTGGACCGAGGACCCGCACCCCAGGTGGCTCCCACCACCACTGTGACCCTGCCCCACCCATCTCTACAAGCACCCTGAGCACATGTCTAACAGGTGGAGACTCCTGTCCCCCCCTGCAAACCCCGACCATTCCCTCCGTGCAGGCCCAGAGATGAGCTGCCTGCCTCCCTGTCACGTCACCCAGCCAATTAAAGGCTGCAAGTAGAGAGGCTTCTGGGCTTCCCTTCCCTCACCATGCAGAGCTGCCCATGGGGTTAGCCCTGGCTGGTCCAATTATCTCATCCCAAAGTAGCTCATTTTCTATTATGATCACACAAGTGATTCCCCAAAGGAAGGAAGTGGGTCTGGCCACAGCTGTGGGCTGTGCACTCTTGTATACACGCCTTGGCGGGGGCAGTTCCAGACACAAGTTCCCTTTGGCAGCTCTGCTGCCTGTTTCACACTGCGCCCTTCTCACAGTGGCTCTGCACTCCTGGCTTGACACCCTTGTTCTGCCTGAGCAATGCTGGCAACAGCCGCTGGCAAGGAGGCCCCTGTGAGGTTCTGGATGGCTTTGGGGCTCCATACATCTTTTTCCTGAGGCCCACTAGGCTCCTGAGATGACTTGAAACTCATGTAAGCCATGAAACCCCAGATCACAGCAACAGCTTTTCATATGGAAGGAAGGGTGGCCTACCAGATCTGGGTGGTATGGGCAGGCAAAGCAATGGTGAAATGCCGTGTCCCTCGGCCAGAACACAGAGGTGAGCTAAGACAGACGAGCAATACTAGCCTCGGGTGCTTCTGAATTGGATCCTGAGCCTCCCTTCTCATTGCATGGCGCTGCAGGGCTTGCTCGTAGGCACTGAGTAAGTGTGGGTGTGGGAGCGTGGAAAAGCTACAACGTGCCCCGTGTACACAAGTGTGGAATGTATGACAGTGCAGGTGATATGCACGAGCGTGTGAATGCCTGTGTGGGAATGTGTAGTAACAACAGACACTTGTGAATTTGTGTGTGTGAAAAGTGTAAACACAGAGTGAGTATGTGTATGTGGGGTATATATGTGCCCTATCTCAATGTGTGTGATAGTGAGTGTGGTGGGTATTTATAGGACATGTATGTTAGCATGACTGTGTGAGTGTGCAAGTATCTGTTGATCTGTGTGCCTACTATGTGCACACTTCTATTAGTGGGTGTGTACACACATATATGTATTTTGCACATGCATGTGTATATGTGTGTACTGAGTCTAAATTCTGCATATACTGTATGTCTATATGTATACACATATATGAATATATGCGCATATGTAGAAGTGTGTATGCATACAAGCATGTACATGTGTCATGCATGTGCTTACCCTGAAATGCTCCAAAGGACTCGATGGATAGCACCCTCCTCCCGATGGCTGAGAGACTCCGGCATAGGCGGCATGAGGACATGGGCTGCATCTTCTCCTCACATAGTGCTATGATGCTCTAGGGACATGTACGCACCTTTCAGGAATGCAAATTCCCCAAGAGGAGGCTCACCCTCCTGAGACCCTCCTTCCTGCACATAGCTAAGTGGTGGTGCCCAACAGTCCCCAGGGCCACCCGACCTGCATACCAAGTGCACCTTCTGCCATAAAAGACAAGATGTCGTGGAGTTACAGAAAAGAGTTTTGCCCATGGTGACTATAAGTCAAAACTTTTCATTACAAAAATGTACAATGAAAATCAAGTCGTGGTGTAAACAGGATGCAACTGCTATCAAATTCTGGAGATGTTGCTGGGGCCCCATGGTGTGGGTCAGATGAGGTCTAGGCCTCTAGTTTACCTTCAGATCTGGCCGGTCTCTGGGATCCTCTGCCTGCATTTGGCCCAGCAGTGTCTCCAGGTCCAGGCTTAGCTTGGGCTCCAGCTCAGGATCTGCCACATACTCGAGGGCAGCCTTCAGTGTGGCTCCCAGAGAGTAGATGTGAGCCTGCAGCACCAAGGAACCGTTAGTGCCTCCTCTGCCTGCAGCTGCGCTGTTAACCTGGAGCTTGTGGACTGGCTCAGCACATGCCTGCAATAGTACTGGGCACTGGCCCCACTGCAGCCATCATCCCCAGGGGAAACAGTGGCACCAGTCCATGAGGCACTCCAGTCTGGGTTTTCACTGGCCCTAGAGCCCCACCAGCCCCTTTTACACTTCCCCCATCTCATCCCCATGTGGCTTGGCAGGGTGCAGACACTGAGCTCCTCCCAAGGGCTGTAACTCCTTTCACAAGGAGGTGGAGTATGCATATGTGTGTGTGTGTGTGTGTGTGTGTGTTACCCAGGGTCTCACACATGCTAGGCAAGATCTGCACAGGATGGCTTTTCCTTTTGTTGGAAAGTGGGGTTTTCCCTAACTGAGCACGTGAGAGTGGGTTTGTACGAGGCTTAGCCAGGATGCCAGCCTTGTGAAAGTCCTTGGCCTAGAGCCTGGTAGGCTGATGGCAGCTGATGCCTCCAGCAGCTAGGCACTGCCACACCTGTCTTGTTTCACGAAACAAACAAAAATGGCTCGTATTATATTGTAACTGCAGTGACTTTTAATATTAATCTGGGAAGGACCAACTTTTTTACATAATAAAATCTGTTTTATAGAGATAGGGTCTGTCTTTTTGATTTGTTTTATTTTTAACAAAATAACTGGACATATTTATAGGTCAAAATGCAATGTCTTGACACATGTTTACAATGTGGAATTATTTGCCCCTGGCTTGTTCTCCTGTTTTAAAAATCCTACCTGTTGTATTGACTCTTAGAATTCTTGTGAGTTTGGTGGCTATATAAACGGTATGTTTAAGTTTTATTTCCAGGTAATTACTGACACAAAGGAAAACACTTATTTAGGGATGTACCTTATGTTCAGCTGTCCTCTGACATCTTCTATGCTATGTTCTAGGTCTACAGGTCACTGACAGATGCAGTTCTGCCCTGTCCTCCACACTCTGTCCAGGGTCATACCTCACCCTGCCCCCCACCGAATCCATCCATTCTTCTCATGCTCACACTGCAGACTCTGGGTCTCCCCACTTCTCACAGATAAACTCAGGGGCCTCCCTCATCTCCCCCTCACATGCTGTGAGGACACAGCCAAGCCACAGAATGTCTTTAAGCCATAGGGTGGTCCTCAGTGTTGTCACTTTTAAAATAATAGAGATGGCAATGGGTAGAGCACCAGTGAGGGGCAGCAGGACATGGGGAGAGGAGGAGCCTGCAGCCTGCTGTAGCTACCCACCCCAAACTGGCACCCTTCTCGCTCACAGTCCCTCCATGTCTTGGAAGCTCCTCACTCCTCACCTGGTGACCTGCCTGCCCTTCAGTTCCAGCCTAGACTCACTTGCTCACATTGGCCTCTGGACCCCTTGATGGAAACAAGGACACCAGTCATTTCCTTGCAGCCCTATTTGCAGGCCCAGTACTTTTGCCCTGCCTGTTGGTCTCCCATCAAAGATGGTTTCCCTTTGTGGACTGTGGCCTCTGCACAGCAGGACCCCATCTGCCCTGTGGCTCTGAACCTTGTCGAATGCACACCCAGTGAGTGTGCATTCATGTGACACGTGAGAAAGCAAACAACATGTATCAGGCCTGAGCTGTCCTAGTTGGTCCCTGAGGCGCCCACATGTGCTCAGGGCAATGAAAGCAAGAGAGGGTCCTGTGTGGGCTGGAATCTGGTCCATTTTTAACTTGGGGAACTAGGCAGCCTCTGGAGTTTCCTGAGCAAGGAGTAAGGTGTGCAGACACGGTCTTGGGAAGATTTGCTGCAATATATCCTGGAGATGTGGGGAGTGGAGGTGTCAGTCTCAGAAGCAGGAAGGGAGATAGCCCTGGAAGGTGGGGAGAGGCTCTCTGGTGCCTGGAATATCTAGACCAGCACAAAGGGGGTTCTGGCCTACGTGAAACTGCATTGCGCATCAGTACAGTGAGGTTTGGGGTAATGGTCAGGAGGAGGTGCATTTGGGTCAGCGAGAGGGTGAGCTCGGCCTGAATGAAACTGTCAACCACCTTTAACAGAGACCCAGGAGGCCAGATCAGGGTCTCATGTGTCCAACACAGAGGCTGAGCCAGCCAGACTTTCCTGGAAGCACAATAGCACCAGGAGGGTGAGCTGAGGTGTTGGTGCCCTGAGTTCTCGGTCAGAGAAGGCACCTGAGCTGTGTGACAGGATCCTGCTAGACACGGAGGCTTACTTGAGGCAATATCCTGGGGGTCAACATGTGTAATAGTTAAATCTCTAAGGGATCCTGGCAGCCTCCAGCCAAGGTCACCAGAGTAAAGTTAATGTGGGGCAGATCAGAGACCATAGGCACCAAGGACCGGCAGGGGGTGTGTGGGCACAAGCCTTGGCACACCCAGAAGCACAAGGGTAAGGTACAACGAGCCCTCTCCCTCTGTGGTTAGAATGACAGGAAAATCACCTCTCACCCTGGGAACTGAGACAACTTGAAGAACAAAAGGCCCCATTGCTGGATGATTCTGAGATGTGAAGACCAGGACCTATCACATGCCCATCAGCCTCCTACATCCATCCTGCATATTGATACCACTGCATCCTGTATCTGGACCACCTGTGCCTGCAATGGACTTCCAGGAAAGTCCCACCCCACTGAATTCAGGCGCCTATAGTGCAGCGGTTCCTGCTATGTTGGGCCTCAGCTCCTCTGCAAATGCGGGAACATTGTGCACTCTACAAGGAGAATAGCATTCACCCACCAGCAAAGCCAGGAATTTCAGTGCACTTACCTTGATGGTTAGTAGGTAACTGAGCAATGAAATAAAATAAATGAAATAAAATGCTACAGAAAAGACAAACAACTCAAAGAGCAGGTTTGAGTCATACAGAGAAGCCTGCATCCCAATCAGTGAATACAAATCTCCAAACAAAGAAAACCTTAACAAACTGCAAACAACAGGCACACAGGCAGCACTTTTCACTCACAATTTGACAAGAGTCAGGAATTACAAAGAGAAAGACAAAGACAAATAAAAAGTCGCAATGTGTTCAGAAACAAGAACAATTGTTGGAAATGAAAGCCTGCATGATAGACTTTACACAAATGCTGGGCAGAACGAGTCAGCTAAGGTCAGCTTTGTTCAAGTCCACCCACAGCAAACACAAAAACAGGATGAAACCCTGATCTCTGCTGCGTGTTGTCTAGATGTCACCCTGGGGGGTGCCGAGTGCTAGGTACATTCTGACTCCATCTGGATGCTGCTTATGGCTTTTGAGCCTCAGGCTCATGTCTCAATAAAAAGTAACAGCATCAGCCAAGCATAGTAGCACATGCCTGTAATGGCAGCACTGAGGAAGGCTAAGGCAGGAGGATCATAAATTCAGATTCTACCTGGGCAACTTACAGATGCTGTTTCAAAAAAGGTGGGCTGGGTATCTACCTTAATGGTAGTTGCCCATGGATTTGATGCCCAGGAAAACACCCCCATACACACACAAAATAAGAAAATTCTAACCCATCACAAGGCTAAGGAAGACATCTCAGTGGAAATTTTAAAAATATATATTTAAAACCAAACACTATGTGGCAAACCTCACAGGATAGAGCAAAACTCGTGTTGAGGGAAATTCACAGCCTGAAATAATGACAATGATATTAGAAGGAGGAGAAGCTAAAAATGGAAGAGCTGAATCTGAAACTCAAGTTAGAAAGGGGAAAAAAGGTAAAGAAAAAGAAACTTAAAAGAAGTAAAGAAAGCATAAAGAACAAGAATCAATGGAAAAAAAGATACAGACATGCCAGGAAACACCTCATGATGCAGAGAGGACTCTGAAAAAAATTAACAAAATAACCTTTGGCCAGACTGACAAGCAAAGGAAAGAGAAAGTGCAAGTTAATGTGCTGGGAGAGGCTGAAGCTGGAAATTAGTCCTATGTGTGGGGGCAAGACAAGGCCAGAGTGCCTAAAGCAGTCAAGCTACCTCAGGCTTGAGAAAAACATGCTGCCTGGACAATTTCAGTCATTAGTCACTAGGCAACCTTGTGTCTCCTGAAACTAACTTTGCAAAGGTATAAACAAACCCCCCTACTGTTGTTATTCAGTTCTTCTCCTCCCATCAGGAGAAAAGACCTCCACCTGACCTCAGCTCAGTCTCTTGTCTTTATTTTCTAAATCCCCTTGTCATTTCATGATAAATATGGGGTACAACCTCCCTACATTCATGGGCAGTGTGAGGAGAGGGGGCAGCCTACAGAAACCATGGCAGGGGAAGTGGCATCCTTTGGTACCAGCCCTTTCAATGCACGGGTTTTTATCTGCTGTAGTTTACCAGAAAGTTGACTCAGTAAAAAGTACAAAGCAGGTTAGTCCTGTAACTAGTAAAAATTGAAAGCAATTAGAAGTGTTTTTGCAAAGTAAACAGATGGCAGTAGCAGTGAGTTTTACCAGACTTTCAAGGGATAGATCATATACAAACAGAAGAAAATGAGAGGGTTCTCAGACAAGACTGGGACAATCCTGATGTCAATGCCTGTCAGAAACAGCGAGAGAATGTAAAATTACTAGCCACTCATGAAAAATATGGGAAAATTCACACCAAGCAATTGTCAGTCCAATTCAGCAGTTAATAGGAAAGATAAGGCACTTGGCTAACCTAGATTTTTCTAAGTAGAACAGGGTGATTTAATACCAGAAAATAAACATACAAACATTAAAAGCTTAAAATTACATGATCATGTGAAGAGTTGCAAAAAGAGCATTTCATAAAGATGGAATATGCATCCATGACAAACTGGTGAATTCAACATAGAAGGGAACTTGTGGCTAAGTCAAATGTCATCCTGGCTAGCAAAAAGTGAAAACACACTGTTAGAATGGGGATGTGGGTGGGGATGGAACCCATGCCCTGGGCAGGATGGATATACTGCAGTTGCACCAAGGTCCTGGCACAAGGGAAGCCTGAGGCATCACCACTGTGGGTTTTTGTCAGTGACTGAGTCAGTTAAAGAGAAAAACCAAAAGAATCTATAAATTATTAGAAATAAAGATTTTACAAGATGGTTGGATGTAAAATTAAGTATTAAAATGAATTCCATTTCTGTAAACTGGCAACAAACAAGCAGAAAACTAATTAAAAGATGACCGTCGATTTTAGAATGGAATCAGACCATAAATTCCTGAGAGTAAATCTACTAAAACATATCTCAGGTCACCATGGTAAAAGTTCTAAAGTGGTACTAAGAGATGTTAAAGAGGAACATAATAAGTGAGGAAGTGTTAGGTGTTCATAGCAAAGAAGTTCATACATTATAAAGATGTGAATTCTCCCCAAATTGATCTACAGATTAGTGCCATTCCAGACAAGATGCCAACAGGGCTTTTCATGGACTGTGATAAAACTTATTCTAAAACACACATGGAATAAGGGTTGAGAATAGTCAGATCACTTGTGCAAGTGGCAGAGCTCACCAACAATGGGTGATTAAAAGAATGCTGTTCCAGGGCGGGGATAGATAGATGAGTGACCAAGCAATAGAGCAGAATGGAGACCCCTGAAGCTTTCTATCTCTGTTGAGCCTGTGCATACAACAGAGGCAGTGTGCTCTGGGGCCAGTCAATAAACAGAGCTAAGAAAGATGGCCATCAACATAGAGCAGGATGAAAATGATCCCTATCCCACACTGGATCAAAAAATTTGGCTATCATATGCTGAGTTAGTCACTTCAAATGTGTGCATATATCTGAACATCACTGTGCATTCTGTGCAAATGGACAAATTTTGTTTGTCAGTTATACTTTAATAAAGCTAGAAAAAATCAGCTCCAAGCGAATTAAGTATGAAGAACAGAACTTCAAAACTCTTGGTGGCAAATATCAGTGAATATCTGTTAGACCTTGAACTGGGGAAGTCCGTTAAGGACACAGTCTACACTAACAAAGGAAGCACTAATTGATGTGATCACTTTAAAAGCACTAATTGATGTGATCACTTTAAAATTCTTTTTCATCAGAGGATACCTGCAGGCACCTTTCCCCAAATTGTGGTTCAAGAGGTCAGGACCATTTTCTTTGCTTTTTTTTTTTTTCAGAACCATTTTCATAACAGTACTGAGATCTCATTTGCCTTATTCACCCTTCCTTCTCTCCTGAGGTTTCAGAGGCCACAGGATGTGCTATTGCAGTAGTCTGAATGAGATTTCATTCAGTGTCCAAGGCCACTTCTCCCACACACAGAGCTGTCCTCCAGCTGCCACCAAGGACAAAGGTGGGGGCCCCAAGGACAGCCCCAGTGGGGACAGTCCAGCACACTCAGAGGCCACCCACTGCAGCAACCAAGGTAAGCAGTAACCACAAAGGTACAGAGGAAGAGGGAGGGGCTTGGTGAATGGCTTTTCCCAGCTCTTACCTCAAAGGTGTTCCCGGTCAGGTCAAACTCTGGGGGGACAAAGGCACCCTCGGGGTCATCTTGGGGAAGAAAAAAGAAGGTATTTTGATCATATCTACAAAGAATCAGTGAAGAAAGAAAACTACCAACTAGAGCTCAGCCCCTCAGATCCTCCATGAAGGGCCAGGAAGGTGCAACCCAGGTCCTGAGGTCCTCTCCCTACATCCCCTCCCTTTGGGCTGGGCATCCCAGAGGATGGCTTTAAGAGGCTAAAGAGTCAGCAGTTAAAAAGAGAAATGGGCACCTTAACTGTAAATGTGGGAAACTGATTTCAAATGCCAGGAGAAAAACATTTCGTTTGGCTTCCCAAAGAAGGACAACTGAAGGCCGCCATTTGGGAAAATCATTCTATCAGAACAGGCTCTCCAGGGAGAGAGGGGGCTGGCCCACCGCGGCCAGGTGAGCCTCATCTATGATTCACTGCAGGCCAGGAGGGGAGACAAGGAGCCCAGAACTCCCTCAGGGTTAGAGTTAGGGTTAGGGTTACTGCCTGCACCAGCCAAGTCCCTTTTCCGTTCTGCAAGGGCATGTATGGCAGCCTTGGGGAATGTGAGACACTTGGCTAGCACAGCCCAATGTCTGGCCTGCCTTGCTCCAGCCATGGTACCTCGGGCTGAGGGTGCCATCAGGCTCCAAGGAAACCTGGACCCTGGGCATGTGCCCTAGGTCCACTCAGCTGCCTCACAGGTGGCTTCTACTCTAGCTGCACCGCCCCTTGGACCTCACCACTGAGCTGCTCCATGAAGCACACGTTTCCGCTGGTGTTGAAGGCCAGAGTGTCGGGTGTGATGCACAGGGTCTGGAAGATGGCAGAGTGGGCAATGCTCCGCATGGACAGGCTGCACTCCAGGCATACAGCCCAGGCCTCCTGCTCGCTGAGGCCACTGTCCCGCAGGGAGAGGATGTCAGCCAAGGACACGTTCTCCTGCCAAAATACACCTCAGTGTAAGCCCACAGAGGGGCCTCCTCTAGGCAGAGCCCTGCACTCCACACTGAGACTGAATCTCTGGGTAAGCAACCCTATGAGCCAGGAGAAGGGTTTTAGGCAGGTCTTTTAAAAGCAAGTCATCCTGCTGCTCCCTGGATGTCAAAGCCATCTAGCATTTGTTGAAACACCAGTGTGCTGCCCGGAACAGGTGTCTGCTCATGTAGCCTGGGGATGGAGCCATTCTCCCTGGAGGCTGGCTAAGAACTTGTGCCCAGCTACTCACCTGCTCAGGGATACCCCTGACCCCACAAGTTCGTAGCTCAGCCAGCATGCTGAGGCTATGAACATGAGTCACAGGTATCTGTGGAGATGGAGTCAATGCCTACAGAACATGTATCTGTGCACAGGAAGCCTTCAACTGGCTAATGTGGCATAAGCCTATGACATAATCACATGTATATCACATGGTGGTGAAGCTGCCTCGATGCTAGCTACAGGCAGCTTACACGGAGAATGCAGTTGATGCAGTTGATTGCTTACCAGCTCAGCTTACCACAGATATCCAAGTGGGTTCTGTGACTGTGAGAACTTAGCTGTGATGGTCAATACCAACACTCACACACATACCCACATTACAGATGCACACCCACACACATGCACATACAAACATGCATCCACAGGTATATGGACCCACTTGCCATGTTCCTATTTGCACACATGTGCATACACAGAAACACACAACCCTCTATACATGCACACACTCAGTGACATATTAACATATATACTTTTTTTTTTTTGTCTTTTTGAGACAGAGTCTCCCTATGCAGTTCAGGTTGGCCTGGAGCTCACTTCGTAGCCCAGGCTGATCTTGAACTCGCAACGATCCTCCTGCCTCAGCCTCCCGAGTGCTGGAATTACAGGCATGTGTCACCATGCCGAGCAACATATATACTTTCATATGTTCACCTATGTACCAAGACTTATCCACAGGCATGCACATATTCCCAACATTCCCATACATTTCACATACCCTCACTTATGTATGCACACTCACACAACAAGAGTGACAACTTTTTTTTTTTTTTTTTTGAGACAGGGTCTTGCTATGCAGTTCAGGCTACCCTTGAACTCACTATGTAATCCAGGTTGGTCACAAGGTCACAGCCATCCTCCTGCCTCAGCCTCCCAAGTGCTGGGATTACAGGCATGTACCACCACATCTGGCAACAACTATTCTTATATACACAAGCACATACCACAAATACATACCCTTTCACTTATTTCCACATGTACAACTGTATTTATACGCCCAAACCCTGTCACACACATCCACACAATACTACATGAACCAGTCACACATAACAATACCACACTTTCTCATGCATATGCATGCACACTCATATACACATGCTACTACATATACACTTTTCTATGTTCATACCTAGTACACATACTCCCATGTACAAGTGCACATTACATTCACACTCACAAACACAGAGTTGCTGTCACATGTACATAAGCACTCAGACTCACACACACATCAGGCACCCTGGAATTTAAGCCCTCTCCTGGCCTACTGTTCCTGGACTCCCTCTCCTGGCCGTGTTTGTGCACTGCCCCTCTTACAGGGAGGGTGGGAGGTTTTGAGGGAGGTGGGCTGGAGCTGGGGTCAGCAAAGGATGTGGACATCCCTCAGAGAAGTGGGGACATGATGAATGGGGCGTGAAGGGGCAGGCCCCCCACCTTTTCCTCCACCCTTGGCTGAGCCTTGCCTAGGACAGCCAAGTGACCAGGTCCACCTTTGGTTGGTAATGCAAGGGGTGCCCGGAAGCACAGATGAGGGGATAAAGGACTTCAACCAACCAACTAGCCAGCCAACAAACAGAATCATTATCCCAGAGTGGAACTTGGCTGAGTTTCTGGGTCTGCTGCCTCCCGCATGCCTAGCATATCCACCTGTCTACTTCCCTTTCACAGTCCAGGGAGAGGCCCAATGATGTCACTTCCCCACACCTTCCAGCTCTTTCTGTGGTGGGAAACTCCCTGGTGTGCTCCTGGGATTGTCTGGTTGATAAAGATCTTTGTGATGTGGGCTCAATCCTGCAGCCTCTATGTACTACCCAGGGCCACTCAGGACTGAAGATGACAGCAGTGCCCAGCTAAAGAGGTGCACACAAACGCATTCACATGTACCACACCTGCACAGACACGTGTGGCTTGCACATGTATCTTCACACATGGACCTAAACACAAGTGCACAGCACAGTGCATACACATATGTATGCGCATGTGTTTACCATGGACATGCAAGCAAACAAAGGCACACACTAAGTGGGATAAACCCCCGCAGACCCCACGTGTCTGTGACATTCAGGAGAAAGGAAGCCAGCCCACAATGTGAGTCTGAGCCAGTCCCAGTTCTACGGCAGGGCCTGCCAACACCCTGCTGGCTGCTGCTTACACTGGCCAACAGGCCTGCCTGCTTACCCCCTCCCCCACAGTGGCAGGGTGTGCTGCCAAAAGAAGGGAGCCTCATGAGGCAAGCTTGTGGCTCAAAGCACCACATCCTGGTCAGGCCCAGGAGGAAGTTACTCCTGGAGTTGGGAGCCCCAGCTACTCCTCAGGGCAGCTAGATACCTGCAGGCCCCAGCACCTATGGGGGGAGGTCTAAATGTGGAGAAGCAGAAGCCCTGGGGATTCTCTGGGTTGCACTGGGGTGAACTGTGAGGGGTCACCTGAGTCACTGCTTCTGGCCATGGCTAAAGCCTCGTCAACAATGGGACCATCTCAGCCCCCTGACATCTGCTTTCCCCAGGTGGCATCCAGCCCATGGCGCCCTGTTGGCTCCCCTTGTCCATCACCAAGGACCCCAGGTCTGAACACTGGGCCTCATGATCACCTGCCCTCTGGAGTCCACAGCTGCCCTTGCCACCTCCCTGCTCTGAGCCAGGTGCGAGGAATGACTCTCCTGTGCCAAAATACATGGCAGCTGAACTAGGACAGGTGGGAGTGTGGGAAGAGCTTTGGCTAAGGTGCCAGGGACAAGGCTGAGAGACCAGGCAGGATGTGGGCAGTGCTTGCCAGCTGCTCAGCCTTAGTCCATGTCCCCACTCCCAATTCTAGCAGACACCCCACAGCCACCGCTGTGCACAGAAGCCCACCCTGTAACTCTGTTCTTGCCTAGAGAAGAGGCCCCCCCAGGGACCTGTGGTTCTTAGCCTCACCACTAGGCTGGTCCAATTTCAGCCTGCTTGTGTGCAGCCCAAGTGGGCTCTGCAGGATTAATGGACAACAGCAGACATTTCAGAGGGAGGCAATGTGCTAGGAATAGAAAAGCAACTTTGGCTCCAGCAGAGGCCCATCTGCATAGGGCCCCCATACACCCAGCCCACACGAGGACCCCACACAGATCACAGCATCATGACTCCCTGCGCGGAAGCCCCTGCCAGCTCTTGCCAACACAACCTGACCTTGCACTGCCAGCGAACCTCGGGTGGTTCCATCTGCCAGTACAGCCCCTGTTCCTTCGGCAGATGAGAATCTTTCACACTCCAGCCTGCACTTTTACTTCCCCAGCAAGGTGCTGCCCAGGTGTTGCCCAGGGCCATCCAAGCCACGTTCCCTGCAGGGCAGGAAAGAACAATTGTGTGGGTGCCATTTGAAATTTGGAGCTGGGCGTGGTGGCGGATGCCTGTAATCCCAGCAATTGGGAGGCTGAGGTAAGAGGATCGTTGCGAGTTTGAGACCAGCCTGGGCTACAAAGTGAGCTCAAGGCCAGTCTGAACTCCATAGCAAGACCCCCTCTCAAAAAGACCAAAAAAAAAAAAAAAAAAAAAAGGAAAGAAATTTGGGGGGTATGGGAAGGCAAATGGATGAGACCCTCAGAGTGGGCTGCTCTCAGAGCAGTGGCACTTTAGTTCATTCCTGGGCCCCAGAGAGTGGGACCCTTGCCTGGTTAATATAGAAACCCATTTCTTCTGTGCATTGAAGAACCTACTTACTCTGATAGGCTTTAATTTGGGGTTGCAGGGGACCCAAGGTCACTGTGCACATTTCAAATATACTTCTCAAAACTAGTTAACTTTTCAGCTGTGGAAGGTCCTAAAAGACCTGCCAACACAAAACTGAAGTCACTTCCAGGAGCAGGGAAGTCCCCAGGCCCCTGAGCTGCCAGATCCCGAGGCCTGGGGAGCTCTGAACAGTGCTCTACTGGTGCACCTATGCGTGGCTGTCCCTCTGTGAAGCTCTCCTGAGTTTCAGGCTGCCTTCTACGCGTTTGGGTACAGCTCATAGGCCCTGGAGGGCACAGTGAGAATAACTCCGTCTTCACAGGATGTTCCCAGCTGTGGGCCCCATCCCTCTTCAATCCCCAAGCTTGGTCCAGAGCCCACTCCCATAAAGTTTTGGGAAGGCTTGCTGGACTTGGGGGTGAGAATGCTCTTGACCCTTGGGAAGGGAGACAGGAATTGTGCCATCTGGCACTCAAATGGCACCGTCTTCATCTCCAAGCCTGTTCTGGTCCGCAAGGCTGAAAACAATAGCACCGCCTGCCTCTTGACCAGGCGGCAAGTGCTGACAGCCCTGACCACAGCCTCTGGGTGTGTATCTGTCTTTCCTGTAGACGTGGTCCTGCCCACATCCTTTCATGCTGTTCTGTCCCTGATCCTGCATCTCCTTTTCTACAAAGATTGAAATTCCATGTGAATCCAGGGAGAGATACTTCTTTCAGGAAACCGACCTTGCTCAGGGCCTGGACAGAACATCTTCACTTTGTACCTGGAATCCTCTGGTTGTACTAACTCAACGTTACTACCTGCAGGTGGCCAGGGACACAGAGTGGTTACAACTTCCAGGACCTAGCCAGGCTGTGCAGCCTACTTGCCAACAGCTCTGGGTGGTTCCCAAGCAAATGGTTCTCACACATGTGTGGTCCCTGTGTCTTTAGGGTCCACCTGAGTGAAGCTGCCAGGATGCTGGTCTCTCTACCTCATCAGTGAATACCAAGATGTTTTCTAGCAGGCTGTTCTCACTCACATTCCCACGGCAGCAATAGAGCACTGACTGCTGGGGCCCTCAGGTCCTGCTGGCACACACCTGTCCACTTTCTCTGTTACCAGCCCCCTGGTATTCACAGTGTACATGTTTTGCATTCTCTAGATTATAATAAGGTCAAACAACTTTTCATGAGTGCACTAGCCATTTGGGTTTTCTCTGGGTCACAATGGAAAGTGATATTTCAGGGGGTCGTGGAAGGTCTGTAGATTTCTACCTCTTGACCTCAATGGAGTGAATCCCTATATTCTATTCATAGGACATGACCTGTATCTGGTGTCCATCTCACTTTTCTGGGCGTTTCCTTTGGCCTGGGCCACACTGACCCTTCCTGGAGGCTCTTCCAGCACTGCCACTAGGATGATGACAAAGCCTCGTTCTTCTCCACCCTACACAGGATGGCTTGCAGATTCAGCCCAACTACAGAAGGCTGTGATAGGTACAGAGTAAAATCTTTCAATGTAAACCAAGGCAAATATGTGCAGGAAGCATAAAACCGAACCCGAGATGTGTTCTCAGATCAAGCTCAGTATTGGCTCAAGGCTGGCCTGGGGGTCCCTCTTGTGAACAGGAGCAAAGACAGGAACCTCCTCCCCAGGTGAGAAGCCCACCTGAACTTCCCATTGGATGCCACTAAAACAACAGTTTTTCAGTTCATCTAGAGGCCTTGGCACAGTCACAGAAGGAGACCCCTCCTCCATGCACTTGTGCATGTGGAAGCAGCTCCAACCCAGAGGGGCCCTGGGGACATTCCTATGACAGAAGGTGTACGGCCTGGTGAGAAGGCAGACCTCTGAGTGTGAGACTGTAGCATTACTGCAATCTGTGGTCTCAGTCACTGCTTTGGTGTGCCAGACCCTCAAAGCTCAGCAGCTAATACAAAAAAGTGCTGTGTGCAGAGCCCTGTTCTCAGATCTGCTTCTGATGGTGACTAGAAGACAAATTTTCTAGTAGAGACACTGAAATGTGTCCTGTCTTCCGGTGGGCTGAGGACACCCTTTCTTCCCCATCAAAGCCAGAGAGAGATCCAAAGGTTTATTTATTCCCTGGCTTCTCATCTCTGCAGCCTTCAATTGCACCAAATCCAGGCCACCTCAGGGGTGGAGGCAGTGCCACCCCCTGCACTGCCCAGAGGCCTCTGGACGGCTGGGAAGCAGCCACCGGCTCTTTGTCTCTTCAGAGCCCACTCCTTCAGGGAACGGGTAGGGGCTGGCAGAGGACTCAGGCCCTGGGGAGTGCACCCATGGGGCACCCGCCCCAGAAGGGTTCTGGTTGAGTTTCACCCACCAGTTGGCCAGGCCTGCCCAGCGGGGCTGGTGAAAAATCTTCAGCACCACAGTGTCCCCAGCAGGCTGCAGAATGCCAGATTCCTTAACGGGGACCCAGAGGCCCAGCTTGGAAGGGTTTCCCCAAAGACTCCATATTCTCGGTAATGGACAGCATGCCCTGTATCCTGTGGGGGCCACCTTTCACACTTGTCCACAACCATGGACCCCAAACTCCAGCCTTTGACTCTAAGCCCCAGCCTGTGAACCTAGTGGGGCCCTGCTTCTCTGCCGCTTGGAGCGGAGGGGGCTACCTCAGATCTTGAGCAAATCAGTGAGCATCTTCAGCTCTATCCTGGGGTCTCATCAGCTCTAGCCCTCCAGTTCCTGTACCTACACTACAGGGGGAGGTGCACAGTGCCCTCCACTGTCCCCTGCGCTGGCAGACACCCATTCGTCTGCACAACAGTTATAATCAGGAGCCCACCTCACAGCATGGGGGGCACCAACTTCTGCTATGACAGCCCAAAATTTTATTCTATGCGGCATTTCACCAGTCCTGGGGGAGTCTGAGGACAAGGACCCCCAGTGGCTATCACCTGCCAGCCAACGTCTGCCAGGGGCCTGGGCTGCCCATCATTCCCTGCTCCTCCTCAGACCCCTCTTCGGAATGGGAGGGGTGCCCGCAGGCCCGGGGCTCACCTCGTCTTCCGGCAGGGTGGGCAGCGGCTCAAAGTCGTAGAAGTCCAGGTCCTTGACATCTTCCTCGTAGAAGCCCGCGGCGGCCGGGTCCATGGCCTGCATGGTGCGCGCTTGGCAGGGGCCTGCGCGGCAGGTTGGGTCTCCGGCCGCGTCCGCGTACCCCTCCAGGTCCCCTCCCCCCGTGTTCTCTCCCTAGCAGGTCCCCTCCCCAGCTGGCCGCCGCCTCTGCGCTCGCCCGGCCGTGCTGGGCACCGCCGGCTACGCGCGCCCGGCCGCCATGGCAACGCGCCCGCCGCCTGCCGCAGTGTCGCCGAGCGGCGGAGCGGGGGACGCCTGGGGCGGGGCTGGGGGCGGTGCCCTGAGGGCCAGTGGTCACTTCGGAGGGTGCGCGGGACGCCTGGGGGCTTAGCGGGCGTTCTTGGTGACGTGAGCCTCCCAGGTGCACCGGGCGCTGCTGCGTCGCCCTTGACCGTTCGGGGCGGAGCCACTCCGGGGAGCAAGCAGACACCGTGGTCTGCGCCTACCTGAGTGTTGTACACGAGAGGCAGGAGGCGTAGAGGGGCTGGACCCTACCCAGACAGTACCTGCGGTAGGGTCCTTCTTGGATTTTCCCTGCCCCTCTCCAGGGGTGGGCTGTCGCATCCAGGTGGCCGCTGCTGCACCAGGGGCTGGCTAGGGGACAAAGGTCTGGGCTTTCCTCAGCACTAGGGTGAGTCTTGCCATTAGCTGGAGCCAGTGGTGGGGCGGAGAGCCAGGATGCATCCTCCACAGCTAGGTAAGGGCCAGCTTGCCTTTTCCCTAGCTCCTCAAAATATGCTCATCATCCTGCCTGGGACCCCCGACTCCTTAGCAGAACTGCGGGTCAGATCTCCAGCTCACCCATGTGGCTGGCCTTATTCCCAGAGTCTAGCAAGGCCGGGCACACAGTAGGCACTTAATGTATGCTTCTTGCATGAAGGACACGCGACTGTGGCAGGTCTGTAAAGTCTGAGGGTGCAGTGTGGGCAGGGATATTAATTCCTAACATTGCATCCTTGGGGCAGGCTGCTGCACTCCCCAGCCGTGCCTGTCTGGTGTGAGGGGCATTGAGGACATGGGAGAAACCAGGCCTCAGCTCAGAGCAGGTGGGTGTTGGGCAGTGCCCTTGTATCCAGCCAGGCAGCCTCACCTTGTTTGAACTCTGATCCTAAGCCAGGTGCAGTAGTGCATGCCTGTAGTCCCACATACTTGGAAGGATTGCTTAAATCCAAAAGTTCAAAGCTAGCCTGGGCAATACAGGGAGATCCTATCTACGAACAAACAAACAAACATCCAAAGCCAAATGAAACCTGATTTAAACCCAATTCAGAAAGACTGAATAAAAAATTGGGTCCCCTTTCCCCCATCCTTGGAGTGTTTGGGAGCTCTGAGCAGTAGAGGGTTAGGGGATGGGGAGGGTATTCAGAAAACGAGTTGGAGAGAAGGCATCTCACAGTGTGTGGCTTTGGCCAGCTGTGCAAGCCTGCTGTGCCTGGGCACCACATGGGGTCTGCAGCAGCCCAGCCCCAGTCTCAGGAGGGGAATATATGGCGGACAGATCCTGCTCCAGCCTGTCCTTGGAGCCTGCAGAGTACAGCTGCGTCCTGGGCCTCAGGTACCCCTGCTGCAGGGTTGAGAAGCTGCAACCCCCTTGCTGAAGTGTAGATGTGGCCCTCATCTGTCCCCAGCCTGTGCTCCCTTGGGGGAACCTGGGTCTGATACAACCACAAAGAGAAGGCTTTGAATTTTGTCAGGTGCCTCTGGGACCCAGGTTTAGAGGGAGGACTTGGACACTCACTGAGAAGGACAGAGATAACCCCATCATAGGGAACAGTCATGTCACATGTGTTCCGGGGTCTAGTGATGCACTATTCACTCCAGAAAAAAGTACATTGTGATTTGGATTAAAATTGAACACTAGAGTGAGTCAGATTTGGCTGTGGCAGCTGGAAACTACAAAGTGGGCATTTCCCTTACTGGTCAAGTACCATACTGCTTCTGAAGAGAGATGGGGCATGGTGAATTGGAGAAGGGCCACTGAGGGGCTACTGGAGGGCCTGGGCTGGAGCAGTGCCATCTCTTCTTTTACAAGCTGGCTACTTCCCTTGAAAGGTTTGTGTCTTTGGTCTTTCCTGTTTTGTGTGGTGATTTCCCATCTTTCCAGAGTTGATGACACAGCAAGATGGGTAACGGGATGTCCGGGTGATCTCAGGATGCTCACTTCATGACAGCCCGGGGAATGGCCTCGCAGAGTTGGCCTCTCTGTGCCTCTTCTTGCCCCCCCCCCGTGTCCCCATCCCATTCTTCCTGAGGCCTCCCTGGTGATATAAGAATTCTACAGAGGCATCCAATCTGCACGGTCAGGCCCCTGGACAAGGCCATGCTTAGTGACATTCTGCTCTTTTTATATTCCTTGGGTGACCTACTCATTCTCCACTCTACCACCTTTCCTGAAAGACCCTCCCTTTTTTGCAATGACACTTCTGCCCCTCCACTCTTCCGGCCTGAACTGCCTCTCTGCCGGGGGCCTGCGTTCTCCTAACTTTTCTCCTCAAGAGGTGGCCAGGCGCCCAACCAGGGACACTTTCACCTGAGACCTTGTTTGTATTGCTCCCTGGACCCTTGTCACGTTTGGACACTATCAGGATTTGCCTTGTTCTCGGAATCCCCATTGCTCCATGAGATGAGGGCTCACTCCTCCTCAGAGCATGCGATCAGCGCTCAATTTGACCAGTTGGTGCACAGAGGTGGGTGAAATGGGTGGCTTTAAAACCTTGGCTCTTATTTTCTCAAAAAGAATTTTGGCAAGTTGTCAAATCAGTTGTACATTTGGAATTCGACCTTTAATTTTTGTTTTAAAAAATTAAAACGTAAATAATTACAAAGAATGCAATTTTTGGTGTGTTCTAAACATTGACACTTTGAAATTAAACTGTTAGTCATTCTTGTTAGTATATACGAGAAGCTAAATACCAGAGTGGCTCTGATACCCACTAAATCATTCAAATCATTCAATCATTCAAAAATCCGTAAATACATTCTTTTCTAAGTCAGAAATTTTCTCTTGAGGGTCATTTTAGGCACCTAGTTTTGCTCAGAATTTCATCTCACTGTGATATGTTTTTATTCCTGAAAGTATCCATTGATCCCTCATCACACTCTACATACACATGTAAGTTTTAATAAATTGAATATTTAATAATTTAAAAAATTAAACTTATTTTGCTTTTTATGACCATAAGTCTTGATTTAGAGGACAGAAATAAATGACAAAATAGTTGATGTTTTTGAGAAGTAGGCACAGACAAACAAGGAGAGTGGACACCTGCTCCTGCTGCTTTGCAGCTGTGACTTATCCTGGATATTTGGTCTCTGCGCATGGACACTGGGCTGCCCTTGTCTTGTTGGCTTTTGTTATGGGGCACTGGAGGCAGCTGGAGAATCAGAGGAGCCCCTACCCTGAGTAGGTCCTCACAGTTACTGTCTCCAGGAGAAGCTCACTGTTGCTTGCTACCTGTCAGCTGTTTGACATCTGAATACAACTTCCCAGCACACCCAGGCTGCTGCAGTCCTTTCCTGCTGATCTGCTGGAGGAAGTTGGCAACCACACAAATGTGTAAACTGAGCACAGACTGAGACTTGGAGCGTGAGGGTGCCGGTCAGGTTTTCCTTGCCAGCCCACACTCTCCTGAGATGTATGCATGCTGGCCTCACCCAAGCTCCTGGCCCATGTGCCCTTTGCCTTCTCCAGTGAGTCATGATGCACCTTGAAGGGTTCATGATGCACCTTGTGCTTGGGGAGGTGAGATCACAAAAGACAGGCATCTATTACTCTGCTGCCCTTGGCAACATGCCCAGAGTGGGGACACTCCAAAGAATCCAGGATAATTTCTTACACTTGGAGGGCTCCAGAAACCCTATCTCCCCCTTTGAGAATTGGAATGAGCAACTATCCAGGAAGTTGGGGGTGGGCCCAGTGAGGAAGGGGACAGTTCACCCCTCAGCAGTCTGGTCAAAAAGTTACATCTCTTCCAACACACATGAATGCATGCACACACACACACACACACACACACACACACACATGCTCATGCACAAGCACATGCTGTATGATTCTGCTTTTTATAGTTTTTCCTATGTTTATATCATTACTATAATTTAGCTTTGCCCCCTTTTTCTTTGGATATTTGTATACATTGTGATCATACAGTACATTTTTTTGTGTGGCTTTTCTCATGGTTTCGAGATCCAACCATATTGTTTTGGTAGTTACTAGTAATTTGTTCATTATTATTACTGAACCATACTCAATTATGTGAGCACACCACCGTGTATATTCTCTTTCCATAGATGTTGGGTGATTTCTAGATTTGATGTATTATCGCTTCTCAACTTTTTGGCTAAGAACAAGTGTACATTTGATGTATTATGAACAGAGATACTGGGGACATATTTGGTTCAAATTTCTCATTGCACACACTTTTTATCAGGCCTATAATTGTGAATGGAATTTCTGAGTCATTATGCACATGTTAAATTTTTATAATTTTCCCCAAGCAGATGTCCAATTGATCAGAGGCCATTTACTGGAGACATTCTTTTGTCCACAGGTTTGTCATTTTGATTGTTGTCCAATCAAGTGCATCCATATATTTCTATCTCCTCACTCTTCTTTTCCACTGGTCTTTTCCTCTGTCTTGCTGTAGTGTAAACTTGTCTTGACAAATGCAGTGGTCTCCATCTTCTAAGTTTATCCTTGTCTCCTTCTTTTTTCTTCAAGAATATCTTGGCTGCTCTTGTTCTTTCATATTTCTGTACAAATTTTAGGATCAGCTTGTTGTGTTCCTTAGGAATCTGGTTAAGATTTGGTTGGGATTTCACTGAATCTGCTCATCTGTAAATCTTTGTAATAAGTGTTTCTCTAGTCCATGAATATAGTGTCTATGTTCTCTTTAGTCTTCTGATAATGTTTTGTAGCTTCCTATGAAGGGATCTTGTGCAATTTTTAGTATATTTACCAAACTATGCTGTGGTGTTATGGTAAATTATATCTTCGGAAAAAATTATTTTCTGTTTAGACCATAGACATAAAAAAGATTTTTGAATAATGACCTTGTATTTAGCAATTTTTATAAACCTATTTATTAATTCTAACCTATGGATAGATTGCTTTGGATTTCCCATGTAAGCAATCATATTATCTGACAATAGTAACATTTTGACTTCTTCACTAATTCTTGTCATGCATCTTTCTTTCTCTTTCTTCACTGTTTCTACCAGGATCTCCTATGTAGTAATAGAAGCGGTAATAGTAGTCTTTTTTGTTGAATTCCTAATGTGAGAGAAGGTAAGTTTTCTATTTCACCATTAAGTATAATTTTGTCATGGGATTTTATACCTCCCTTTAGCAGA